TTAAATCCTTTGTCATGATGCATCCTTTACCTATTCCACCACAAAATTGGAGGGATAATGCTATGGATTTCATTAAGGGCCTTCCAGCTGCCCATGGTCACCATGCAGTTTTGGTTGTAGCCGATTAACTTTTCAAGTATGGAAATTTTGTCCCACTCAAAAATCCTTATTCTGCCCATAAAATTGAAGAGATCTTTATGTGTGGGATTTTTCGCCTTCATGGCTTGCCTTCAACTATTGTAAGTGATCATTAGTCAATTTTAGGAGTCCTTTTTTTCTATCCAAGGCACCAAACTCTTTCGAAGTTCTGCATACAACCCTTAATTGGACGGCCAATCCAAGGTGATGAACAACACCCCTGAGCACTAGTTGCAAAGTTTTTTGGGTGATCAACCCAAGTATAAGGTCTAATGGCTACCTTGGGCTGAGTGGTGGTACAATATCACATTTCATTCTGCCATTCAAATGACCTCGTTTGAAGAGGTGTATGGATCCCACCTCCCAACGGTTCCACTTATTTTCGAGGTTCATTTGATGTTGATCTAGTAAACAACACCCTTCGAGACTATGACACACTTCTTTGTCTTTTGTGTGTGAACCTTCAATTGGCCCAAGACAGGATGCCGACATAACACTTAACATAAGTGTTCCGAGCACAAATTCAACATTGGGGACTGGGTTTTTCTAAGGTTGCAACCTTACCAAAAATCTTTAGTGGGTAACACCCACTGCCCTAAATTGGCTCCTATGTATTATTGAGCATTTGAGATCATTTCCAGAGTTAGGAAAGTCTCTTATACACTTTATGTTCCTTCTTATTCACGCTTGCACCCTGTTTTCCATATTTCTCTTTTGAAACTCAATGTTGCTATTTCCCTGCTTCCTCCAATGAATTCGAATGGTCAAGTATTATAGACTCCTGAAGCTATCTTACAACGTGGCATTGCCAAACGCCACAATGTAGCTGTTACTCGTTGGCTAATCAAATAGCATGGATAGCATGATGCCACTTGGGAGGATGCATCAGTTATTCAATAACGTTTTCCTGTTTTTCAGGCATGAAGACATGCCTATTTTGATAGGGGAGGATTGATACAAGCTTGTATTGTGTTAGAACCTATTTCCCTTATTAGACCTATAGTAGTATATGTATTTTCCATTCCAATATTGTATTTCCTATTTCCAGCTAGATATTTATGGTTGACGTTAGGTCTTTCCTTTTGTATTTTGGATTATGTTAAAACCAATTTCTTTCCATTATTGGAGGTTATGAATGAAAACATCATATCTCCTTTCCATTATTGGAGGTTATGAATGACAATATATTATCCCAATTACCTTTCCTTTCTCTAGTTTTTATCTGGTAGCTGTTATTCACTCGCCTACAACCCTAACAAGCCCACTTGAGGGATGCACGTTGAATTCGCTAAGAGTTAGGATGCGCATAACTTGATACGAGTTCAGATGCGCATAACTTGATACGAGTTTAGATGTGCGTAACCTGATATGGATTCAGATGTGCACCACCCAACATGGGTTCAGATGCGTACAACCCAATGTGGATTTGGGTATATATCATTAAATATAGGATTTGACTCATCCAATACATCTTTGTTATTTGAGAAGTTCGAGATTTGAATATTCAATCGCTCATATTCCTATATCCTCATTAAGTGCGGAGCAAGACAAACATGGTAAGGGTTGACCCCGCACAACTTTTTGTGACTTGAAGATGGTGAAGGTGCGTGTAAAATGTGCAAAATGAAGCTTACATCCTAAATTTGTTAGCAGGTATAAAATTTGGGCTTCACAGCTAGATCAACATAGTTGATGTTGAACTAATTTGTGCACTTCAACAGAGACAATAAATGTGGAATAATTTGAGCATCGAAGTACGTTTTGCAGGTCCCTCCCTCCTCATACTTATGAAAGATCGACATCAAAGGTGAATTTCTAGTGAGTTTTTAGAAAAGTACAAATTTCGATCGAGAGCCTGGGGAATAATTTTCTTGTTGTAAGAATTCATGTTCCAACATTTGTCGTGAACAACGGCGACTTTCCTTGCCCTCCAAGTGACTAGGGGTGGTGGAACAAGGAGTCAATGTCTTTGACATGAGTACAACGTCTTGTTTTTCTCCCTTGTTTTCATAGCTAGTTTAAGTGTTGTTTTTCTGGGTGGGTGCCTTCAGTAGTTTTGGGGTGCCATGTTTAGGTAGCTCTAGTTCTTTTGTTGTTGTATCTTGCTCTCTTCAGTTTAATGGAATCCCATGTTAAATAATAATAATAATAACTCCAAGCTTCATTTAATGGAAATTATATAATAGTATGTAGGGTTTAATCCTCTATCATACCTTTATTTTTCTTAGTGAAAAATTAGCACCAAAGGTGAAAGTGAGAGGGCAACAAATTAGTAATTTTGATTTCTTTTATAACCATATCAAACATTCACAACCTAAAGTAAAAACAACAAACTTGTTAATGTTTTAAATCTTTTTCTATCATCTAGTGAGGCTTTCCTATGACGGTAAACCATTTACAACCCAAAACCATTGATAAATTTTAGTTAACGATCTATTAATAGAAGTACATCCATATATGAGGTCACATAGGTAGGTTCTTTGTCTTTTATGTGATGGTAGTTTCTTTGTCTTTTATGTGATTATCACTCGAGCATCATCCCAATTCGAAACAATATATCTAGGTAGAGTTGACTATATGAGATAAAGTGAGACACAAAAAGTCGATTTAAGAAGTAAGTTGTGTTAAAGTGACTTCTGAGGACAAATCTAATATCTTCCAGAGGAGAGAAACTCTCATGTAACTGGAATAACACTTTTTGCTATCCCCAGCCAATAACGCAATGACACGTAGGATAGCAAAACAGTGTTATCCCCGCTATAGGTAAGTTTTTTTGCTTCCAAAGAGACCATGGAGTAATTAAGCAAAATACTACTGAAAACTTTTAAAATTTGATATAGATAATGTATACTGACGTTCAAGGACGAAACCAGCTATTGGGCTATATGGGCCCATATAGAATTTTTAAAAAAATTTATATGTGATGTAGTCTTGACCAAAAAAAAAAAAATATCTATGTAGTCAAATAGAAATAACCATAGCCTAGCCTAGCCCAGCCCACCCAAGTTTTAAATATGATGTAGTCCCAAGCCTCTTAGGGTGGAGTCCAATTTTCCTCTTTCCTTTCCTGTGTCCTTCCTGTTACCTATCTAATTTCTTGACACCTATCCCTACACTTAACTTCTAACATAACAGTGTTAACCATTTTAATAAAATTAAAACTAAAAAAAAAACCAATTATTAAATAAAAAAAGAAAAACCCAAAAGCCACCATAGCTCCACCCCCACCCACCCATCCAACCTGGTCAGCCACCCCATCTCGTCAGCGGCAACCCCGACCCTCTGAGCAGCTTGTTAAGCCTCGGGATCCATCCCAACCCTCTAGGCTCTTCACTTTCAAGCTTTGATTTTGCATTAGAGCTATGGTCCATTGGCGCAGCGAAAGGAGAAAAATATGAAAATATGGATTAAAACATAAGGGAAAGTAGGCGTAGGTGCGATCGGAGAGCGTGGGCATGGAAGCCGCATCGGCGACTGCCATTGCTGTGCACGAAGATATCTTTGAGGCAGCCATGGATATCTAAATAAAAGTTTGAGCTTTGCTTTAATCGGATTTCTAAGTTCGAGAATTCATAGGCGTAAACTCAAATATCTGTGCGAGCATGAACCTCTTTGGCAGTAACCACTCTCCTCCGGCGAGGTGGGGGTGGCTGACCAAGTTGGATGAGTGAGTTGGCTAACCAAGTTGGGTGTCGTGGTGGCTGTTAGTATTTGTTTTTATTTTTTTATAATTGGTTTTTGTTTTTGTTTTAATTTTATTAAAATGGTTAATAGTGTTATGTTAGAAGTTAAGTGTAGGGACAGGTGTCAAGAAAGTAGATAGATAACACAGAGGTACAGGGAAAAGGAAAACAGGAAAATTGGACTCTAAGGGTGCAACTCAAATAGTTTTTTATTTATTTTATATTTTATATTTGTATTACATATTTATTTATTGTTGTCTTTTTTTCTTTTTTCTTTTTTATACTAGTTTCTATCTTATGTAATAGATGCATTTTGAGAGTTACGACTCATTATGTCCTCTTGACTAGGTATATCATTTTTGGTTAACAATTAAGTTCACTCGTGCCGTCGAATTTTTTTGTAATATAAATTCAACCCAATTCATTTTGAAATTCTAAATTTGTCCCTGCTGACGTTAATGTTGGACATAAAATGTTCTTACAGTAGGAGTTAATATGAAGGTTAAAATCTGGTTTTCTTGACTTTTCCCGATAAGAGTGAAGCTCACTACCTGATTCAGTTTGCCATTGACGGGCGTTACACTCCTGGTAGGGTAGTATCAAATAATCATTTGGCTTGGAGAGGAAGAAAAAAAAAAACAGCATCATTCAAATTAAACCATCAAATCAATAAGGCCAAACCGAAACGTGTTTTGGCTTATTTTTCATTTTAAATTTTGCAAATCAATAAGGCCAAACAATGAAGTGTTAGCATCAAATTTTACGGTCTACAACAGTTTTGTGCTCTTTCGGATTTTATAATCTTTTGCAATGACAGGCTGCCACGCACATCACAGCCAGTCATTGTGCTTCTACTTACGATGCCTTAATAGCCATTAGATTACCACTTAGGATGACCCCACCCAAGCCTAATAATTATACAAGTCTAGTCTACCAGAAATTTATAAATCTTGAGATCTGTGAGCAAAAAGTGATGAATCCATTATACTTTCGTGTGTAGATTAGAATGCAAAAATGAGGATGGAAGAGTGCTGTTATCCAACTTTAATGTTTTTTTCTTTTGGTTATGTTCCTAGAGAACTCAATTTAGTGACTCATAAATTATCTCGTTATGCTTTAACTTTAAATGATGCATGTATCTTCGTGATACGAGACTCCTCCCGATACCGTTCAAGGTTGTTTGGTTGAGGATCTCATATAATGTCTTCATGATTTCATATAATTTCACAGCTTTGTGACCAATTTCTTTCATAATTTTCAGAGCGAAGTTACAAAATTGAATCAAGATAAAATAAAACAAAGCCAACACAACACAAGTATTGTGGGCTCAAGATCATTAGGTTACTAGAGCCTAAGATATATATACATTAGGATCGTCCTAATGTATTAAACAAATAATTGCTTGCTGCGATGCACCATTGTCACATAAATATAGAATCAATGGCAGGCTTCTTATTAATAATTAATATAATTTTTTTTTTTCAAGGGCATTTGGGTCGTCCTTCTTGGGTCTTCCAGTTGTTGTAGCAAGGGCAAACTTGTTTGTTGCCATAAACGCCTGGAGGAACGCATAGGCATGTGGCGCAGCATTTTTGGCAGAAGAACATGCATGGCTTCTTGTGCGATGTGGCAGAGCAACGGTAAGTACATCTCGGCTTGCACTCTACAAAATTAACAATCAATTTTCAAATTTTAGATTTTTCATGCTTTATCATAATGATAATGGATTTTTCCATGAAATTTTAGTAAAGTAAGTTCATTTTATGTACCTGAAGGACGAAGCTTGTTGTAACCCTGTTCATGAATTACGAAAACAAAAACAAATTTAGACAAAATAGACAATATATCCACGGTCATTAACTTCTTTGAATGTGAACGGTTGAATTTTGATCCAACGGTTAGAGTTAGCGACCGACTTTGGATGTTTAGGGTCGATAGCAAGGTACCCAAGAGATCAAAAAGTTGGACAATGTATAGTAATGAAAATAGATGATGGTATATAATACGAACGTACCTCAGCCACATCAGAGAATGTGAGTAGAAGAAGCAGAGAAACCAGCAGGAAAAGGGAGGTGTACGGACGTCCTGCCATTTCTCTGAGTGAGCACTAACTGGTACTGTAAACACAAAGCACAAGAAGGAGAGATGGATTAGATTTTTATGGTCTCAAGGAATGAAGATTTGTGGGTTTATTTATAGGGAAGTGTGGGCATGGCCAATCCAAAATGATTATGAGAAGGAATAGAAGGAGAGGATTGCGCGGTTTAAGGCGTGAAATGGGCAACTGCGCACCAAAAAGTCCATGTGGGCTTTTCATGTGAGCGTTGAAGGCGCCGTGTCTATTGTTTGGTTTATTTTTGGATTTTGCTTTTTTGTGTCAAATCCAAATCTTCATTTTCTTCATTGTTTTTTGTCTTTCCAAATCTACTGAAATAGTCACTCCAGATTTCGTTCATAATAATACTCCGTGAGTGTTATTAAGCGAAGCATTTTTCTATAAAGAATGTGTTTTCGTTTCTAATTATAATGCACCCTGAGTATCGATTGTGTTAGTTTTTAACATATAGTTCTTTTGAACTAACCAACTTTTTTTTTTTCGGTTACAAAATGTAAAATTGTTTACGTCTGTGGGGAGTCGGACCCACAAGTTTTTTTTTTTTTTTGTGTTTCGAATCAAAGAATAAGAAATATATAGACACTCAAGAAATGAATATAAAAATGAAAACAAGGTTATGTATCTCCATTATATATAATCCCACTTGGATATTTTGTTCTTACTTTTGTTAGACGTATAGATGAGATCTGGTTCATCTCATGTGAGGTAGTCCTTTTGGCAGTACGGTATGCATGTTGCATGTGAGAGAACATGCATAAATGGTTTTTGATTAGTTGCTCTGATCTAATGCAAGTCAAGCCACCGACTAAAATAGTGACCTGAATTGGTACATTTTGTTATTTTAGCGCCAAGAGGTCCTCTTTGAGACGTCACCCAACATGGCAACATTGGTAAGCATAATTATGAGTGGATTATTTAAAGAAACACTCGACATAAGTATCAAAATAAATATAAATAAATAAAAAGGAAGAAGAAAAGTGGTTTGCATCAGAATTTTGTAATCGTGGGTGATGCACCACAAGAAGAGGTATCCAATTAATTAGCTGCTTTTGTTTTTTGTTTTTTTTATAAGTTCCATGCAGATATATATGACATTAGTATAGGGCAAATGTTAATTACAAGTTGTATTTAAGCGATGATATGAAAGAAGAATCAATCAAGTATATTAAAGAAGATATCAAGATCAAGAGGATTGAAGTACTTACACATCAAGATCAAGAACAAAGGCAAAATCAAGATAATCAATACTGAATAAAGGCATAATTGCATATATATGCTTAGCCAAGTTAGCTAGAGTGGATATATTCACCACTCTGCACCGAGTTCGAATTCCCCTTGCCTTAGTTTAAATTAATTTAAAGTAGAATATTACTTGTATAAATAAAAAAAAATTCGAGGAATGGTTTTTTTTTTTGGTTCTATCAACGGTCCACTATAGTTTAATGACATGTTGGGGTTCCTTTTCGGCTGCTAACCTGTAATTAGTATTTGAACCCTAATTTTGTATTGGTACTAGTATTTAAACATATGTTATTCTGGTTTCTAACTTCTTCAACTGCTAACATGGGTCCTGGTTAACGTGAAAGGAACCGCTTAAATTCAGCCAAAACTAAGCATCAATAATACGAAAAGAACAAAACTCATTTCATGTGACCCTAACATACCAAATTCATACCAGCACGTTATATGTGACCCTGCCAAACCAAAGTTATCAATCAGGACAGACAAGGAATCGTAACGTTAGGAACTTGAGAGAAGATTCTGTCACCCAGAAAGTGATTTGGTAAGGGTCAAAAGTTAAAAATACAATGATTATAAAAAAAAAAAAAAGTATGCACTTTTTCTTTCAAGCACTTATTCCATCATTCATTTCCACCTTCTTATGACCATTTTCCATGTCCACATTTTAACAGACTTATTAGACTATGAGAAAATATAACAAGACAACCCGAAAACACAAGCCACTATAACTTAGTCCCTTGCAAAGGAAAACAACTCACTCAACACATTGACATTGAAAACTAGATAAGCCAAACACCCTATGAAATAACAACCCGGACATGGGCTCCGCGGCTGCTTATACCTTAACTTTCACTTGAGACCTGTTACAAGTCGGTCAAACACTGAACTTCAACTCATCCTCTGCCTATACTGTTATGGGCCACCCTTTTTTAGCTGACCTATGCCAGACATAATTTAAACGGTATGCCGTAAAATTCCGGTGAGTAACTCCATTTACAGAGTTGGGGGAAAGTTGAACATGGCTGCAAGTTTCTTGAGGTCCTCAGGTTGTATGTTTTGTGACATGATAGCAGCGCCCACAGCCAGGGCAACAGACACAAGCACCATGCTCTTCATGCATCCGTGCCCTTGAGACAATCGTCCCAAAATCAGCTTGCAATATTTGTCTGCATCCTTCAAAAGTGAATGGTGGGCAAAATCATCTCCCGCTGCCAATGCTTTATCATTCTACACCCAAAACAGAAATCAAGTTCATAATAGTAGAGTTGATAGTTAAATTAGGCATGCAAGGCTAGATTAATAAATGAAAAATGAAATCACAAAAACAAGTTAATCACTTCAATATCTGGATATGATTACCTTTTCCCTGAAACTCTTTAAGGTTTCCCTCAAGGGGTCAAGAGAAGTATGTTTACTGGCATGCTCCTTCCACTCGTCAGATAGCTTTTTCAGGACAACAACACTTGCATCAAGATTCTCCAGATAAAGCATGTCCTGTTCCAAATATTCACAGTGAAGCGACAAGTTGATGAAAAAAAATTGTTTGTACAATGCCTTTAATGAACATATGCAAAAGTAAAAGAACAATAATCCAAATGCTTACCCACTGCCTGTAACATTCAGGGTTTTGTGTCAAACACCAAATAAAAATGTCACTTGCTTCCTTAGACAGATCAGGGATGCCTGCAAAATGCTCCATGCATCAAGCTCCAATAGAGAATAGGCCAAAATTCATACTATTTTTACTTCCAAACACAATTTGAAGGGTTTGTAATGGAAAATCAGTTTCTTTGTGCTTGGCTTTACCTTCTTTAACAGCTTTAACTGAATATTTCAATATCTGCTGTGTGACCTGCCTCATTGTTTTGCTACCCGGGGAACCAGCAAGGGAAATCTCTTTCAAGGTTGGATAAACAGCCTCAAACCTCTCAGTTGCCTTAGCAAAGCCAAAATGTTTCAGATATTAATCTTTTGGTTAAGGGGAGTAAGAGGGGGTGGGGGTTATGCTTGATTAGCATGTTTAAATGGAAAATTTTGCAATTCTACAAATGCTCCTAAAAGAGGCAAACCTTAACTCGGGCAGAAGGTGCAGGAAAAGAAGCTCTCATCAACAGATCAAGGGCCGATGGTGGCACTATGTGCTCCCCCCTTCTGACAGCACCATTTAGTAGAATAGGACGAGCTTTGGGAGAAGACAAAATTCTGATATAATTCACCCGGAAAAAAAAGGAATTACTACCAGAAGAAAAAAGAAGAAGAAGATAGTTCTCTCTCTGTGACAAGGAAGCCAGATGTGTACATACGTAAGATCAAGGAATAGAGCTTATGTTAATCTAAATGGTGGCCAACCTTTCCACCGATTGCAAAATCAAGTCTCTAGCCAGCGGATTACTACTTGACTTGCTACTCAATATAGGCAAGAGAAAATGAACCCATGTGTACAACCCCACAACCAGATCTCCTTGAGAAGCCTGTATAAACATAGTTTCCCTAGTTAAAATTCATATTTTAGAAAAGAAAAAACCACTGTTTTAGGAACATTAGGTAAAAATAATTACCTGTGCAATCAACCACACTGTGATTGGAAGCTTATCTTGGCCTTGATATTTTGGACTTTCCTTCATCACTGGAAGTAAGTTAATCAATACATCAGGTTTTCGCCGCAACACCATTGCTAAAACCACGAATATGGCAACCTGCAGTTCCAAGGTTACATCTAATTACTCTCTGTTTGAGGATATATAATCTAAACTGTGAGAATTTTGACCAATGTAATGTAAGGAAAAAACAAAAGCTTATGGAAAGGTGTAGAGCTTTAAAAACTATTTACTGTTGCATACATAATTCAGTAGGCAGTCGTTATGAACTGAAATCCCATTGGCGCTATTTTAAAAAACTCGTCTTCCTATGACTATTTCCAATATTAGATATCAAATTTTCCACATTGAAAGTTGAGTCAGCCTTCAAAACATGATAGAGGAAAGATAGAACTATACCAAATGTATACAATGTTCCATCTTCAAGTTCAACTAAATTTTGCTAGCCTTTCAGTAAGAAAACAAGAACATGATGAATTATTAAGGGCGCTGGGCGCAGGAAGATAAAAGTGGGAGGAAATGTAGTCACATACAAAGGTCTGGAAGCCCTATCAAACAAACCTCAAAGGATCATAAAACACTGTCATGATAACGTTGCTGGATGCTCCAAATCAAAGCATTGACAAAACTAGGCAAACATACAGCCAACCATGGCCTGAGATGATATATGCAACAAAGTTGGATGAGCCATAGAAATGGGATTATATGATAACTAAAGAAGGTTCATTAATACTTGCAGCCCATAGAAGCCTCCTCTGGGATGCAGCCACTGAACAAGAAACTTACTTGAAAAGAAAACAAGAATGAAAATGAAGAAAACAAAGAATAGTCGTAATTACACAGAATAATAGCAAATTCAAATAAAATCCATTCTAGAAACAAGGGGTTAAAGAAATTGAATCGTGCCAGCACACATAACACTAACAATACCACACTATATTTTGCTATATATACAATTACGCAAAATTCTACAAAATACTCACTTGACATGATATTCTGGTAAAGTCCTACAAGGGGTGGTGTAGTATATATATCTCAAAAATATGGATTGAAAAGTTCAGAGAAAATCTGCTCCTATAGTTTTAAAAAAAGAAAGATGGCCAAGGTCATTTTTCTTTAATATCGTATGTCTTTCCTAAGATGTGCCACTAGTGTCCATCTATGCTAAAATCAATGGCTCAAACTGTTTATAGTAGTAATTAGTTTATCCACCTTATACAAT